TTATGATTATTCATTCGATTATTTATTATAAATATTTAAAATTTTCGTAAAATTATTTTCAAATTTGTTAGTAAATTTGATTATTAATAATTTCTAAATTTGTTTATAAATTATATTAATAAAATCTTTTTCCCAATTATACATAAATTTGTTCATAAATAATTTATAAACTTGTTTACAAATTGTTTACAAATTGTTTACAAATTGTTTACTAATTTGTCTACAAATAGTTTATAAATTTGTTTATAAATTATTTACAAATTTGTTTCTCAATTATATTTATAAATTTTCTTCAAAAATATAAATATATACCTTTTGTTTCAAATTGGTATGAATTTGTTTATAAATAATTTAGAAAACTAGTTTCCAAATAAAAAAAAAATAGTTTACAAATAATTTATATAAATTAGTTAATCAACAATTTTCTAAATTTCACCCAAACTATATATTATAATATTGACATTGAAATTAGAACAAAGATCACTAAAAATAATATGACACGTTTTTCTATATATGTGTATCACAAATATAATAATGGCAATTACACTCATTCCCAAACAATTTGATAAATTCTTTTCTCACATACGGTGGGAAGTGCAATATTTAAAACCTAAACTGTGAAAATGAATCTTTGTTTAGATATATATATATATATATATATATACATATAAAAGAAGAGGACTCGTTATATGCACAAGCGATTGATATCAGCTTTCATTTCATGCCGCGCAAATGATATAATTGCGTATAAAGTGAATTAATTAGGTGCAATCTCCTATATACGGCCTTTATTAAAATCACTTTTTGGTCAAACTTCTATTTAAATATTCTAATTTATTGAATATTTTAAATTTTAATATAATATTTAATATACGATTTTTATAAGGGAAAAATATTATTTTACATTGTAGATAATAAATTAAGTGATAAACATCACGCGGTTTTTCTGTGTCACGCAAGTAGTAGAAGTATTTCGTGCGATATCAGTAGTTACGCTCAGTATTGGTCAGACGCGCGTGCAAAATTGCTTCTCTTTCATTTACTTCTATTCTTAACGCACCATTCACTCACTGTTTAAACAATAAAATAAATTTTAATGTTACAATGAAATTTACTTTTATTGGCCTATTTACTATTCTTAAATCTAATTAATTATAAACAATTAATTTATTATTATTATATTTTAATTATCATGGTTTTTATATTTATTTACAGTATTTTATTTTATTAGTATTATTATATAGTATAATTTTATTTTTATTTCTGTTACAATTGTAGGTTTACATATTATTAGCATAATTATTATTAATATAATAATAGTGATAATAATTATAAATAAATAATAAAAATATTTATTAAATAAATAAATAATAATAATCTTATAATTTTATTATCTTTATTCTTTTCATTAAAAATTCATAAACAATTTTCTCAAATGCTAAAAATAAAATTTTATATCATGAAAATAAAATTTTATATCATAAAAATAAAATTTTATCCTAAAATATTAAAGTTTAATCATTAAAATAAAATTTTACCATATTAAAATAAAAAATGTAATAATTAAAAATGAATTCATTAAAATGAAATTACATCATTAAAATAAGACGTTATCCTCGACGTTATCACCGAAATTTTATCAAAAAATTTCATCATAATAATATAAAATTCAATTCTAAAAATAAAATTTTATTCTAAAAATAAAATAAAATGTTATGCAATAAGGAAAAATTTCCATAAATACCAGTAGTGAATTAACGGTAAGAAAAAAAATGTAATTATTGAAATCAAATGACTTTAAAAAAAAGAAAAAAAAAAAAGAAGAAGAAAGCACTGGACAATATTCAAATGAAGTTGTGAATTGTTAGGTTTTTTTTCTTCTTCTGGGGAATTATTTGATAAAACCGTTAGGAGGAATTTACGAAAGTTATAAACTGGTATCATCGCGCAACAAAATTTAAATTTTGATATATGGAATGTATGCTAAATTTTAATGGTACACAATATATGTATTATTCCTAAAAACAACAGCTGCTTTGTCAAAAATAGAAGACATTTTGTTATATAAATTATATCCTTCAACAATTTCAAAAATTCAATGAGAATTAAATTTTATGTCTATATATACTTGTTTTATTACTGACAAATAACAGTTAGTAAAATACATCCTATTTGAATTATAATAATTGACTTTTATTGGTTGAGAGACATATATAAAACTGACATTTAAATAGAAAGTCACTCTACTATACCCGTAGCCTGACGAAAAGTGAGATAATTTATAGGAATTTTCTTCTATTATTTATTAATATTATTATTTTTTTGTTTTCTTTCCTTTTAGTGTTTTTTTTTCTATTTTTTAGAATGTTTCATCATTTAGTACTTTTTTATACTTTTGTTTTTTTATATTTTATAGTCTCTCTTATACTTTAGTATTTTTATTATTTATTATTATTTATTATTTCTTATTATTTAGTATTTTTTATTATTTATTATTATTTATTATTTCTCATTATTTAGTATTTTTTATTATTTATTATTTATTATTATTTAGTATTTTTTATTATTTGGGATTTTTTTATTGTAATTTATTAATTTCAATATCACTAATTAATAATTATTTAATAATAATTAGTTAACATTCTTTAAAAGTATAATAATCAACATATTTTATTATTTATTTATTTTTACTATTAGATTAGAACATTGAGGAAATTTTTTGTGAAGTAAATTTAAAAAAAACTCTTTTTAACAAATAACCAGTAAATTAACCAATTAATTTAATAACATAATAAATTATTTACTTTATTTCTAATATTTATTTCCAATAAATTCGGTTTAATGTAAATTATTTTTATTTTTAAGCTGAAGAAAACATTTATTTGACACAAATAATCGATTACTTGTCTATTGTCAAATAAATATTTACGTCGATCGAATAAGTTTCATTAAAATAATAATAAAAAAGTAATAATTTTATTTGAACGTAAATTCGGTATTTGATGGTAATACCAATTAATTAATTTAATTAAAAATTATTTGATTCAAGTAAATATTTATTTACTAATAGACAAGTAATTGGTTATTTGCATGAAATAAATTTTTAAGTGCATTTCATATAGGTAAACAAATTGAAAATTTTCAATTTTCGTATTTAACTTAAATATTATATTAATTTATTTTATTGATTATTAAAGAATTTCCTTTTTTTAATTGCATGTGAATTAAAAATTATTATTAACCATTATATTAATTATTAATATTAAGTAGTAATAAATAAAAAATATTTTTCTATTACTTATTATATTATTATGCATATTATATTTTATATATTGCTTATTATATTAAACTACATTGCATTATTATCATCATCTAATAAAATAATAGTAATTAGTTGAATAATTAATTAAACATGTTATCTATTTTTGAAAATTATTAATTATTTATAAGATTCACTTTAAGGTACATTAATTCTTTTACCAATTAATTAAAGCAAAGAACTACTTTTTTGTAAATAATAGTAAACGTATATAGGTCGTTAGAACAAAATGAATGAAATCCATTAATCAAATAAATCGTAATGAACTAAAATTATATTTATACTTTCGAAAATCCGTCTTATTAAGTTATTAAATTTTTTACTAATTAATTATATCAACGAACTATGAGGCAACGTTTTTAAACATGAAACTGAAAAAATAATGTGACGATTTTATTTTTGTTTCAAATTAAATGTTATTTTTAAACATTAATTATTAAAATAAATATTAATATTAAAAAAATATTAATATTAGGTAATAATTAATATTAATTATTAATTATTAATATATATATATATATATATATATATATATATATATATATATATATATATATATATATTATATTATATTTATTAATTATTTAGAGCGCTCTAAATTTAAATTAGTAAAAGTTTTCACTGAATTTGAATTGGTGACTGACTTTTGCTTTTGAATTAGTGAATTAGTAAATTAGTAAATTAGTAAATTATTACAATTATTACTAATAAATTAGTAGAAATTACTATTCATCAGTAAAATTTGCTAATTCTGACTTATTTGTTTTCGAATTAGTAAATTTTACTGATAAATTAGTATAAATTGCTATTTATCAGTAAAATTTGCTAATACTTGACTTATTGTTTTTGAATTAGTAAATTTTACTAATAATTTAGTAGAAATTATCATTTTTTAGTAAAATTTACTAATACTGACTTTTTGCTTTTGAATTAGTAAATTTTTCTAATAAATTACTATACTGACTAACTATTCTAATACTGAACTTTTACTTTTGAATTATTAAATTTTACTAAAAATTTAGTAAAACTTAACATTTTTTAGTAAAATTTAAAACCTTTTGCTTTTAAATTAGTAAATTTTTCTAATAAATTACTGTTATAATACTGAAATTTTGCTTTCGAATTAGTAAATTTTACTAATTCATAAATACTAATTTATTAGTAAAGTTTACTAATTCAATAAATCAAAAACTCAGTATTAGGAAATTTTACTGATAAATACTAATTTCGACTAATTTATTTAGTAAAATTGACTAATTCAAAAGCAAAAGTGTACTAAAAAACTGTACTAACTGTATTAATTAAGAATTTAGTGAAAATTTTTACTAATTTAAATTTAGAGTAAATAAATTAAATAATAATAGTAATAATAATAGTAATAATAATTAATACACTAAGAAAAAATATTTTTTAATTAAAAAATACGTCGCCAACCAAAAAAATATGTTTGAACTAATTTTATAAGTGAATTAAACACAATTTTTTATTGAATTATTAAACTTGTGTATTGAATGAAAATTATGTTTAATTCAAAAATAATTTTTGGTAGACTGTATATATACAACAAAGCTAATTATATTTGATTCAAACAATTTATTTTCTCAGTGTAAGTCTTTAGAATTATGTCAAAAAAAAAATTTTTTCCAAAGATTATAATAGAATAAATAAAGGCAAAAAATACCTTTTCCACAAAATGTGAAGTCTTCCAAAATGGCACAAATTAAGAAGAAGAAAAAGAAAATCACAAAATCGCACAAATTTTCAGGTCCAAAAATAAAAACACGTCACTTGCATTACATTTCTTTTATGGGTATTTTTTTATTGTATTTAATTAAAATTATAAAAAAAAAGCGCGAACTATTTGTTCATACTTGACTCCTCGTACCGGCAATATTGAGGGACCTCTCTTTTTTTTGTTTTGTTCGCCGTGTGACAACGCACGCCGGGATAAGTCTCGTGATATTGCGGTGATAGTCTCAGGGTCGCGGTAGCTAGATGCGTGCCAGCAAGGTGTACGCGAGAACTCGTGAAGTCAGAATGGGATACACCTGTCCGATATACAGAGTATACTATAACGTGGCGGACCGCCCCCTGACCCAGACACGCGGTACAGTTATGTAGGTCCCTCGTTCACTTGAAGATATTTCCTTCTTAGCCGCACAGATCCATCGCCGCCGCAATCATCGCCCAAGGTATATACACACAGTCGGACCCCTGTCTGTGCTAATACACTCATTCACTAACCGTCTCATCTGTATGCGTTTATATATACGACCGTTCAGTATTCATTTTCATCCTCTTAAACGCATTTATGTACTGATTCAATGGTGCGATAGAGAACCTTGGTGAGGAACTCACTTTCGTATTATAGGTTTCGTTATTTTATCTATTGATATATACATGTAGGAGGGAAATTTACAAGTGCTCTTTTTATTGGGAAGATCAATTTTTTTTTATACGCAGTCGAATCTCGATAAAATGTGTTTGTTGAGCATTCTTTTTTTTATCAAGGGTGTGTAATTTTTTTTTTTTTTTTTTGGGAAAAAAAAGATTAAAATACACTCGAACGCCGATTTAGCGGACATTTTGGGTTTTGATTTACGATTTTCTTTGTACTGACTCGTTAAAGGTATTGTGTGTTCGCTTTAACGGACGACTCCCACATATACTCCGCTAAGCAGGCTTTAGAGTGTAATCCATTTTGGTGTTATTTTTTACTATGAATGAAATTTGACTTCAAATCAAAAACAAGCCAACGATTTGTCTTAGTCAAAGTCTCAGTCAAAGTCATAATCAAAGTCTTAATCAGAGTCTTAGTCAAAGTCTTAGTCAAAGTCAAAGTGTAAGTCTTAGTCGAAGTCTTAGTAAAAGTCTTAGTCAAAGTAATAAGTTTTAGTAAAAATATAAGTCAAAGTCTTAGTCAAAGTAAAAGACTTAATTCAATACTCAGTTTTAAAATCTAAGTCAAAAACAAAGTCTTAGTTCAATGCTAAGATTTAGTAAAAATATATGTCAAAGTCTTAGTTCAAAACTCAGTTTTAGTAAAAATCGAAGTCTAAGTTTTAGTCAAAGTCAAAGTCTTAGTTCAATACTAAGTTTTAGTAAAAATATTAGTCAAAGTCTTAGTAAAAGTCAAAGTCATAGTTCAATAATAAGTTTTAGTAAAAATATAAGTCAAAGTCTTAGTTCAATACTCAGTTTTAGTAAAAATCGAAGTCTAAGTTTTAGTCAAAGTCTTAGTTCAATACTAAGTTTTAGTAAAAGTATTAGTCAAAGTCAAAGTCATAGTTCAATAATAAGTTTTAGTCAAAGTATTAGTCAAAGTCAAAGTCATAGTTCAATAATAAGTTTTAGTAAAAATATAAGTCAAAGTCTTAGTCAAAGTCAAAGACTTAATTCAATACTCAGTTTTAAAATCAAAAGTCAAAGTCTTAGTCAATGTTTTAGTCAAAGTCAAAGTCTTAGTTCAATACAAAGTTTTAGTAAAAATATTAGTCAAAGTCAAAGTCATAGTTAAATACTAAGTTTTAGTAAAAATATTAGTCTAAGTCAAAGTCAAAGTCTTAATTCAATGCTAAGTTTTAGTAAAAAATAAGTCAAAGTCTTAGTTCAATACTCAGTTTTAGTAAAAATCGAAGTCTAAGTCTAATTCTTAGACTCAGACTTCGATTCACTTTGACCATAGTTAATCTTAAACTTAGATTCACTTTGATTTTCTCTGATAATCGTTGACTTGGTTTTAATTTGTAGTAAAATTTCATTCATAGTCAAAAATAACAGAGCAAAATGTATTATTTTAATCCTTTCTGGTGTTAATTTAATCCTAGAGGGATTAAACTGTTGCAGATTATTTTAATCCATTTCGATGGTATTTTAACACCTTACGATTTACTGTGGCTACTACTTCTGTTTTTTTTTGAGAATTTACACGATTTTAAATTCGCTAATACTAGAAATCAAAAATCTGTTCACAAAAATTATAATCAAATTCTTTAAAAAGATTCAATAATTTTTAAAAAATTTTCGAAATTCAATTATTTTTGATATCATAGTATTTTCATAAAATTTTGCGAAAAGAATTCAATTATTTAGATAAAAAATTTACAAAATTTATCCAATATTCAATTATTTTGAAAAATAATAAAATTTCCACAGGAATTCAATTAATTTAGAATAACATTTTCAAAAAAAATTTCAAAAAATCAAATATTTAACAAAAGTTTTATACAATTTTTCTTCACAATAATTCAATTACTTTCGCTAATAATAACATTTTTCATGGAAAATCAATTTTTTAAAAAAAATTTTGATAAAATTCTATATGCAAGAATTATCAATTTTTTTGGCATAAATAATGAAACTCATCGAGGAATTTCAATTATTTTTAATACTATTTTTAAATTAATTAATCGAAAAATTCAATTATTTTCACAAAAAAAAAGTTTTCCACTTAGAATTCAATTATTTAAAATAAAATTTTCATAATATTCATTAGGTATATTTCGAAAAAATTTTTTATTTAAAACAATGTTTATAAAAATTATTTATAAAAAAAATTGTTCTCTTTTTAAATTCTTTGGAAGAATTCAATTATTTACAAAAATATTAGAATTTTCCACAGGAATTCAATTATTTTCAAATATTTAAATAAAATTGTTCGAAATTTGCAAAATTCAATTATTTTCATACATAACAATAATATTCATCTCAAGAATTCAATTATTTTTGAAAGTAATAAATTTGTTCTTAAAAGTTAAATTATTTTAAACAATTCTAATAAAATCGTTCGGAAGAATTCAATTATTTTCATAAATAAAATTTATTTACTAAAATAAATTTATTTATTAGATATTTAAATAAACTAAATAATTTTATTTACTAAAATCTATCTAAGTCAAGAAGAATATTCTCTATTTTGAAGAGAAGAGTATTCCTTAGGCAAGAAGAATAAAAATTGAAAGTAAAATATTCTTTAAAAAAAGGATATTTTTAAAACGAAGAAGAAAATTCTTAAAAATGGATATTTTTACAAGAATAAGGTTCTTAAAAGAATTCTTTGAACAGACATGAAATACTTATTTAATAATTTTTAAAGAAGAATAATCTTATAAAAAAGAAGGATATTCTGAAAACAAGAAAAATATTGTTAGAGGAAACATATACCTGAAAAAAGAATAAGGGAATAATATAAAAGAAAAGAATATTCTTTAAAAGAAGAAAAAATTTATTAAAAAAAAGAAGCACTTAAAAAAAGAAATAAATACTTAAAAGAAGAAGATAATATCTAAAAAATAAAATACTTGAAAGATGAAAAAATGCTAAAAAGAAGAAGAAGAAAAAGAAAAACAATCTATAAAATAAAGAAAAATATTGTTAAAAGAAGAATCTATCTTAAAGAAGAAAAGAATACTTTAAAGAAGAATACCTGTAAGAAGAAGAAAATTCTTGAAAGAAATAATTTCTTAAAAGGACATAAAAACACTTAAAACCAATTATTTCAGTATTTGAAGCAAATACCATTTAATTGACTCCAATAAATATTATTTGATTCAATTAAATGTTTAATTGATAATAGTCAATTAATCGGTTATTTGAATCAAATACATTTTTTTTTAAGTCCAAGAAGAAAGTACTGAAATGAAGTTTTTTAAAAGAAGATGAATATTCTTAAAAGATGAAGACACCGAAAAAAAATTACTTGAAAGAAGAAGAAATTACTTGAAAGAAAAAGAAATTACTTAAAAGAAGAAGAAAACACTTAAAAAATAAGAAGAAAGTACTAAAAAGCAGAAAAGTATTCTTAAATAAAGAAGAAAGTACCAAAGAAGAAGAAGAAGAAGAATATTCTTAAATTTTGTTAGGTGCCTTGAAACTAAGAAAGGAAGAAAATACTCGAATGAAGAAGAAATTATTTGAAAGAAGAAGAAATTACTTGAAAGAAAAAGAAATTACTTGAAAGAAAAAGATAATACTTGAAAGAAGAAGAAAACACTTAAAAGAAGAAGACAGTGCTGAAAAGCAGAAAAGTATTCTTATATAAAGAAGAAAGTACCAAAAAAAGAAGAAGAATATTCTTAAATTTTTTTAGGTACCTTCAAACCAAAAAAGGAAGAAAATACTCGAATGAAGAAGAAATTACTTGAAAGAAGAAGAAATTATCTACTTAAAAGAAGAAAACACTTAAAATAAGAAGAAAATTCTTAAAAGAAAAAGATTATGTCTGGAATAAGGAAGAAAGTACTAAAAAGCAGAAAAATATTTTTCAATAAAGAAGAAAGTACCAAAGAAGAAGAATATTCTTAAATTTTGTTAGGTGTATATTCTTCAAACTACCAATAAATGCAATACAAAAAAAGAAGAAAATTACTTGAAAGAAGAAGAAAACACTTTAAAAAAAATATTTCTGGAATAAGGAAGAAAGTACTAAAAAGCAGAAAAAAATTCTTAAATAGAGAAGAAAGTACCAAAGAAGAAGAAACAAAATTTAAGAATATTCATTCTTAAATTTTGTTTGGGGCCTTCAAAATATTATTAAAGACAATACCAAAAAAAAAGAAGAAAATACTCGAATGAAGAAGAAATTACTCGAATGAAGAAGAAATTACTTGAAAGAAGAAGAAAACACTTAAAAGAAAAAGCATATTTCTGGAATAAAGAAGAAAGTACCAAAAGGCAAAAAAATATTCTTTTATTATAAAGAAGAAAGTACGAAATAAGAAGGATATTCTTTCCAAAAAAACGTCAAATTGTCCTCTAAAAGAAAGAATATATTTTTGAAAGAAAAAAAAAACAGTTTGAAATTGAAACCATGATAAAAGAAGAATCTGAAAAAATGCTGTCTCTCTCTCCTGGGTACCCTAGATGTTTCTCTTTTGTTTCCATCTTCCGTCCCACTTGTCCCCTCTTTCATACGTGAGTACACACTCATTATATCCCAACTGGTCCTCTCTGGCAACCTTTCCCGTTTGGCACGATTGAACCTAATCGTTCTCCCCACTTTTAAGGAAACACACACGTATACAAACCAACACAGCAGTCATGCCAAACTTGACACGAATCTCTGTGTCCGGTAAATCGATATAACATATAAGTATGCACGACCTATCCTCTATCTCTTCTTCTTCTTCATCTTCTTCTTATTCTTATTCTTTCTT